TAATCATATATTTCTTAACACTAACTGAACAGTTATGTTGAAGAATGCCGATACTGATGGTATAATATTTGTTAATAATTTACAGCTAGAGACTTCAGTTGAAAGAGTTTGCACATGCTTCGGCCACACTTCGGCAGCATCTTGCTCCCATCAAGTTGAAGTTCCTCCGGAAGTTGGTAGGCAAATTGCAACCAATTTGACTTGTTTCTCGATCGGAAATTTCATACGATCAAATATCTCCAAATTTTGAAGGTAGTAAACGAAACTTCCAATATGTAATTGGTCATAACATTTTTTTCTCGATTTTCTGGACTGGTCCACTCTCTCTATACACTCACTATGTATTATTATGACTCTTGCATTCTGTAACAACTTTTTTTAGGGAAATTAAAATAACCCGAACAGGATGCTCAAATGCATGCTGTGTCTGAACTACAAGTTAATATTTTTCCTTGTCCCTATAGAGAACTAAGATTTAAGTGAGTAAGCTAATCTATAAGACGAAGACCACTTTTACAGGTTTGCTCTTATGTTATCACCTACTGCAACTGCAGATTAACAACACGAACTCTCTCCCATATTTCAGTGTGAACATAAATTTGACGTTATCAATAATATGTCAAGAAGAAACAGATGAAACGAAAACGAAATAGAGAGCTATTTCTCATTCTTGGGTTTAATACATGACAAAACTACACTACATGGTAATCTGCCTTGTAGTCTGTAGAATGTTCTATCTTTATGAGGTCACTTAAGGCGCCCGGGTCAAATAAGAGGAGCCAAGGCCTCTCCATCAAATGATATTGAGTTGGGACTTTGTTGGGAGATTTCTCCAATTGAATCGGGTTAAGTTGTTCTGTCTTTCATCTCAAAATAATTGTCGTTAGGCCTGTTGATGACTAAAAATGACGTTGCAAATTAGATCAACTTAAAGGGTATTTCATAAGTAATTGATGGAATGAAATAACGTTTCGATTGAGAATTGATTCTCTTTTAGCATGGATCACCATACGTCCCTATAACTTGGTGGGGGACGAAGTATCTCTATTTATAAGCCTTCTAGTGAGAGTTGATCACTCTCTGTCCCATCAAGCTACAGTACCTACCTTGAAACGTGTGCCACCATCCTGAAAGGAAAATTTATATTGGTTGTCAAGCTCGGCAAGCTAGGTCATCATTGGACATAAGGTATAGTTGTCGCCGAAGCAATGATCACTTACTGTCTAAGTAATCATTAATTTCCTCTGATTGGTTAATGTGGAGGAGCTAACGTCGAAGATGACAAGTGTTCTTTTAAGATTGGTTGTGATTGTGAAGGAGGTGATGATGTTATTGGTGGAACATCTTTTCAGGGTTTAATGATGATGTTCCCTTATGACGATAGTGGATGGCCGATCTATTGGGAGAGCTCTTTAGTCCGACCTCAAGATTAATTTGTTATAACATGTGTTTTTATCCTTTTGAAGTGAGGCTTGGCTTGAGTTCGATCGCCAACAAGGCCTACAAATCAATTTTAAAAAGGAACTGCTTATCATCTTCAACACTTCATAAGATGTTCAAAATAAGTGCCCCTTTTGAAGCTCATCTTGTTGTCAGTTAAACGAATAATCCACATCACCAAACGCAATAAATGATGAAAAATAGGAAAATTAAAAGCACCAAACATACAATTTACTGCACTTCACTTTCAATGAGAGCTACAAGCAACTGGTGCTGCTACGGAACTGTACTCTATCAAAAAAAAAAGAATTACAATGTGTTTCGAACTCATTCCTCTCTATCTCTCTCACAATTAGATTTGGGGCTCACCCTTTATAGTTTATATAGGAGAGAAACATTAGGGCGAACTAATAAATGTGCAATTTCCCAAAGGTCGAACCACAGACGAAGGGAGAAGTATATAATACATTATGCTCTACAAAACCTGTTAGAGACGGACAAAATACCAGAATCGCTATACCACTTTATTGAGAACCCGGCCAAATATTTAAAGACGAGAACAATATGAAAATAATGGAAAACAAAGAAAATCCAAGAAAACCACATGCAGAGGTGGAGAATTCACTATAGTCTATAATCAATAGTAAAGAGTTACAAATTATATCTTTGGACAATTGGTCAATTTCAATATGCGTTGTACACCACATATTTATAACAAAGTAATCTGTAACATAGTGAGAGAATTAATATATGAAAAATTTAATATAGAGTGAAGTTCCAATACAATGGATAAAACCAATAATTGAGAATTTAGAATGAAATAGGAGTCAAAATCACCTTAGACTCTTTCAAGACATCTTCAAGTCTATTACCAACTCCCAATACTCCTCCAACAGTGTTTCCAATCAAATACTCAACAAGAATTCGAGTCACAACTCAATTCTAACAAAACCAACACAGCTTCCCTTTCTTGATCTCGTGTGCTTGCTGGAGTGGACAATTATCTCGTAAGACATACCAGTTCGGTAAACCTGGGCATAAACATAATACTGATTTGACATCAAAAGTAAAAACTTTAAGTAGTATGTACCTGCTTAACTTGTCTACCTTTAGCAACGTTAGAAGGGATGCAACATGGCTATCTGGGGGACCAGAAGATACAGACTCAGCCAGGGCTGGATATGGAGTAGAACCAGAACACAAATTAATTGGAACTTAGCCATTCCACTCCATTTCCAGCCATGGACAAATCTGTCCACTGCTCGGAGCTGAGCTTCCTCTTATATGGAGGGGTTGAAGGTGGCCTTATGCACAAGAATGTAATCACTATATATGACAATAAACTGTGGATAAAATCTAAACAAATAAATGATCTTTATTTTCCTTAGATTATGACGGTTCACCAAGGGGAGAATAATCCAAGGGAACTAACACTGCAAAAGTTAATGGTAGATATGATATGCTTCGATAACAAATGCGAAAAATGCATCGATCTGAACTATGAAATCCCATCAAAACTTGTTTTTATTGAGTTCAAGATTGATAGGGTTTCTGTTAATCAAACACAGTGATGTCGATGTGTACAGGATTTATTGCGTGGCATTTTCTCCTCTCGTTCATTAAAAACTAGGGAATTTCTCATCTGTATTTGATCTGAATCATCTGATGGAATTGAATACACTTGGGCCTTGGCCAATAGTATTGATTTCAAACCGTCAAATAACTTTATAAACTTGGGTCCAAAAGCGAATGGCATTTTACTTTTCGGCCACTCCCCTTGATTTTCAATTTTAGCTAGTTTTTTAAGGAAATGAGCTCTCAAACTTTTTGCAAAGCCTTTGTCGTTGGGAGGGTCTTTCAGTTTCCACAGGGCAGTTCCAATAGTTCGCATACTGCTCAAAGAGTTTAATAGTTTGAGTATGTTTCTATGCGCTTTAAAGTTGAAGTTACTTTTGTGAAAATGGGTTTCTATGTACTTTCACAACAAGTATCTTTTAAGCATAACCAAACGTATAACCTTTGTTTTGTCCATGAACACACACAAGTAGGCACCAAAATCAGTAATGGCCAAGACTGGCTTTATGTTTCATGACGCCACCTACTACAGCTGCAGACAATAAAAACAGCGGAAATTGGCCGTCTGGCCAGGCTTCACGACTTCTGGGAATACGACTTGAAGACAATGGCATAACCGATAATTTTATAGACATCTGGGCAAAACCAAATTACAGAAACATGAAATTGTTGGTAATGAGTTGACCGGAAAGGAAAAAAGATAGAAGGTAGAAGTAGGAAAATGAAAAACAATAAACTGAAATCTGGAAAATGCATTATTGCTGAACCATAATACTCATAAATAGTAACTTTTCTTGGGTCAATTACAACACATTGGAAAATGGATTAATTGTACCACTCTTTATCCTCATGGGCGTAAAATATGACCATCAAATACACTACGGATATCCATCGCAAACCCAATTGCAGAATCAAACCGCGAATCACCTCCATAAATAGCTAGAGATTAATTGTTTTAAACTCTGGTTTTCTGCTTCAAGTTCAGCTTCTCTCTGCTTGTTCTCGTTAAGCTTCTTTTGGAGCTCGGCTTCCTTCTCTCTACTCTCCTCCATTGCTAGCTGGAGTTCAGCATTAATTCGTTCCAAATCCCCCAAGGATTTCCGAGCTCGCTTACACGCTCTTTTCCTGTTGAACCAGCTGGCAATCTGCTCCATATCCAGACCTGTAGTCCTCACCAAATCAATCTTCTTCTCTCTGGTCAAGTGCTCCGACTCTTCAAATGCCGACTTGAGAACATCAATCTGACATTTCTCAAATCGTTTAGCCATGAACTTCTCACAGTTAAAATCTTCAATCTTTCTGTTTCGATTTATAGAAAAATTAGTCACTTCAAAAATAATTTTAGAACAGTAAAATGGAAATAAAACAGATCAGTGTCACGACAAGCAAATGAAAACAAATGGAACGACGAAAAATACGAGGACCAATTAGAAGCTCCAATAAGGAAGTGAAATTTGGCAGACAAATATTTTAACTTGTATTCCCTGCATTTATGACGAAGATAGGTGTATTCTCTCTTTCAGAGTTCATACGTCATTGTAATGTATGCATCAACTCCTTTATAATAACACAACAAAAATCATAAATTTTACCCACGTAGTATTCTGTCTGTAGCATCTTTTGCCGAATGATTTGTCTCCATGTTAAAGGACATCAATTGCATCGTTTCTTTTTAAGAATTTTTAACTGTTATCATAGCATCCACTGGCATGTAAAAGGATTCGAAAGGACAATGCTGATCCTCTTTCTAAAGCTTCATCAATTGTTTTAGGACTACAATATATAGATGCAGCAGTAACAGATAAGTAGTAAAACAACTAAATTCAACTTTCTTAATTCCATTCTGCGGTAGGTCTGATTTGAGAAATTTAGTGAGAAAGATTGTTACTCAATGAACTGGATCAATTGTACTACTGCTGAATATCGGCTTTCATAAACTACACTCGGCAGCAGCTACTATTGGGATCAAAATTCAAGATCAATTAAAAAGTGACGCTTTGAGGGAAAGTTAATCGAAGTCAGAGTCAGGAGGAAATGTTTACTGTGGTTTTGTTATTGTAGGTAAAACTCTTAATCCAGGAGCACTGACATCAAGCCCCACGACATTAACAATCAGGAACTAAAATAAGTTTTTTAATGAATATGGACATACACTATTTTCTCGTTTCTTGCTTAGCTTAACATCTTCAGATTTGATTCTCAATCTTCTGTATTACATGCCATTGCTAATCCCCGTGGAATTCCATAAAACTTTTATTTTACTTTTTATTGGATTTATTTGACAAAGTAAACTCCAAAGCCATTCACTAGTTAATAAAGTATGGTCCCTGTGGACAGTGATTGATGTCAGATGAAATAAACTCACTTTTAACTACTCTCTGTTCTTCCATTTCTACATAAACTACCGAATCTACATCCCAGGCAACAACTACATAAATCTAAAATTAAACCCATATGCAATTCCCTCAACAATAAACTTGATTTCATTTTATTGCAAGCAGTTTCCTGGAGTTATCAGAAAATTGTACCCTTTTTTATTCCAAAGAAAACTGTCAATAATTGTGAAGTACTCAAGATCAACTAATTATTACATGACCTTAAAATTCTGTCTAAACCCTTTCGGTATTACAGGAAAAATATACCTTATGCCAATATGTTATCTCGATAAAGTGTATGAATCAACTTTTAATGTGATTGATAGTAAGCCAATTACATGAAGAGTGAACCACAGGGCGACCAACCGAGACTCTTTCAAGATAATTAGCCAGATAATTAGTTGGAGCATAAATCTTTTCATACCTTAACTAGAAGAAAGCGCACTAGATACTAATACAGTTAAGTAAAAATTCATAGCAGAAATTCCATTTTTGCATAAATCTACCGATGAATATTTACATAGAAACATACAGAAACTGAGAAACTAAGTATTTTGAAAATGAAGTTGAGTGATCAACATGTCTCGAAAAACACGTCAACTACTACATTCAGCTATATCTTAGTTCCATGCTGCATTAGTCTACCGCATGAATTATTCATGTTGCAACTTGCAATATTTAATCTTAAATAGAATGCATCATTGGAGATATATTGGATAGTAGCTATCAAAGAGTTTTCAATTAGGACACTAAATTAACAACCTATCAAAGGAGTTCCAATTTGTTAGAACTTTTTTCATCAAATAATAAAAAATTTAAACAAACAAAATCTAACAGCTCCGTTATCTTAATCTCGTCCATGTCATTGTCCTTTTTCACATACAGGAGCCATGACACTTTATTGCATCAAGCCACCAAGACAATAACATTTGTTCCATATATTTCCTACTTATAATAATGTTGCAACTTGCAACATTACTTAAACTAATCTCTATTAAACTGTTTCAGATTTGTTGGGTAGTAAACATCCATATGAGTAAGGCGGCCGTGCTTGATTAAATATTACGTGAGGTCAGCTATAAGAATATTTTTCTCATATATCATTTTTTCTTTTTATTTAGTCAATTGTGTTGCTCTTCCTAAACAGTAATCTACATTCGTCTTTCTAAAATGTTCCTTTAAGCATTTTATGATTATTAATTAAATTTGTTGTAGAGTAAGCAATGAATGGAAACATACGAGTAACACGAACTCAAAAGCCTTAATCAAATACATCAGCTATAAGAATATTGCCGACGAGTCTTTTTTTATTTAGCCAATCATATTACTTTCTCTAAACAGTAATCTAGAGCTCATCCATACGTACATCTAAAAATATTTAACACAACTTAACTCATTTATCTAAACTTATCTTCCAAAGAGGCTCCACTAGCAATAGTGATTCAATCCCGTAACATATCAGAAGAGTACTACCAAAACAAAATGGCCTGGGCCTAATAGAAGTAGCAATGAATTAAACAGAGTGAGAAAAAAATTCATGTAGTCAGACCTAAATTTATTTAAAAACTAGTTTTTGCCTCTTTAACATATCTTCCTTGGAGTTCCTTAGAATATTTTATGAATAGCTTTTGGAGGAAGCTTGTCCATAGACTTCCTTGGAAAGCTCGTCTACAAAAAACAAAGGAAGTGTTGACAGTACAAATTGAATCAAATGAGTTTATTGATGAAACAATTAGAATCAAATATTAATGTAAATACAATCAACAAATCCTCT